TTCTTCCGCATTTCGGGTCTCATGCAATTTATTACTCGGTTCCGAACAGAGGTACTGGCTGTATCATTGTGGTGTTTCGGATAACTCCGGTTGAAATGGCCTAGCGATTGTCATGTCTGAAAAAGCTCGGTCAGCTCTAATTCAGTGGAAATCGGTAAACGACCGCATGACCTATGGTCGCTTCAAAGGAAAGTTTTTCAATATCTCGGTCATGAGTGCATATGTTCCAACTGAAGCGCAGATGTCGCGATAAGGATAAATTTTATGTGGAACTTCAACTTTTAACAACATTTTTGCCGGAAACTGACATGGTAATAGTCGGAAGAGACAGAAATGCATGCGTAGGTCACGATACCGCCATGATAAACTCAGTAATTGGTAGATCCGCTGCGACAATGGAGAACGCCTTTTTCACTTTGCAGAATAATATGAGCTCCTTGTTACTAATACATGCTTCCGACATCGGAGAAAATATCTAATCACCTGGGACTCTCCAAATGTTGCCGAAAGTCAGCCATTTCCACGCTACGATATGTTAATAGAAGATGCGCTAGTTGGGTGTCGGAAGCAGCTGTATAGCTGTCTGAAAATGGTTTTCAAAGCACGAATGTCAGGTGATCCTGACTACCGTATGCTTCGAAGATTTGCAACGAAAACAGCACGGCGGAATAGAAATCACTATTGGAGCGATATGGCCTTGAGAGTGGAGACGATCGCTCGATTAGGCGATAATAGGAAATTATTCCGCCTCTTCATAAAGCAACTATAACTGGGGAAAGGATCAACGAAATTATAGGGGATAGCAACGGTGCATCTACTAAGAATATTAAGGATTGCCTCACAAGATGGAAAGAATTCTTCGGGGGCAAACTTAACCATGATGCGCCACATGTTTCCCCGGAAATAGCTGATTCGCTTATCGAACCATACGTTTGCAACTACGAACTGCCAACAGAAGAGGAAACGATCTATGTCATCCAGAAACTTAAGGCCAATACTCCTGGAGAAGATGGTCTTAGAGCCGAACTTTTCAAATATTGTCCATCGTCCTTCATATCATATTTTCAACAATTACACTTTCTGGTATGGAAAAAAAATATACCACATGATTGCAGCAAAGTAACTCTGCTCCCAAGAAAGGTGACGGGACATATTGCGACAATTGTCGAGGAATCAGCCTACTAGACAAAAGCAAAAATTTTTGCTTCCCTGCTACTCAGTAGACTTATGGAAGTACGGGACAGCAGGATGTGTCTTAATCAAGCTGGTTTCAAACCAGGGCGCGGTTGTGCTGACCAGATTTCACGTTAAGAATGGTGTCGGAACATCGCTTCAGATATTTGCAACCCACTGTCATGTGTTTTATCGACTTTGCTTCGATTCAATTGATAGAATACTTTGCAGCGTGATGGAACGCGACCGTGCAGAGATCATTCGATTCATAAAGGCATTTTATCAGCATACATCGGCTTAATATATGTGAAATAGACTCCTTCGTCAGATTTGCGAGTTTTTTCTGCAATATTCAATTTTGTGATAATTGGATAATGGATATCGCTTGTCGGCACTCAATAACTGTACAAATTACTCCAGAATACATTGTTCTGCAATATTTTAAATATGGTGATGATGTAGTTTGCTAACAGTTATATGAGATGCAAATAATGTAAACAATGTGTTAACAATTGCAGCGAGAATTGCACTTAAAATCAATGTAAATAAAACAAAAGTCTTTTTGGATTATTTACAAAAAACTCAGAGTGGACAGAATGGTTCAGTGGGTTGTTAAATTGGAGCGTCGATGGTGAAGTTCGATTCCAGCGACAATAAATAAGACTGCCCAAAAGTTTTGATGAGTGCTCCGACTCAAATGCACTTCTATCGCCAAGAGACTCTTTGGCATGTCGCTTTTTCAATACGACAAGACAGCGGAGCGAGTTTAACACAGTGCTTAATTTATTTATTTACTTACATTTTTATCAATTCTTTGTCAGTTGAGGAAGTGTCCAAACTTTAAATATCTCGGATCCACTCTAATTCTAAATGGTCAAGCGGAAGACGATGAAGACAGTAATGAAAATAGTAATGTTTTCTTCCTGTTAATGAAACCTTTATGGACTCGTCGCGAAAACATAAGAACAGAAGCCTGCGTTTACGTAGTCGCACTTCGATTTTGCCATATGGCTCTGAGACATGGCCAATGAGAGTGGAGGATATTAAGATGTTATCTACCTTTGACCACTCTTATCTAAAATACATTTGACGAATCCATCGAGCGGACAAAACATCACGTCCACCTTCGTTCAAATACCACTTGCATCAATAATGTTACAGAGATCAATAATGTTATCACAGAGATCGCCTTCGCTCACGTTCTCCGTCGTTCACCACAGGAGTTTGACGCATATTTCGTTACTTGCTAAACCATTGTGTGATGGTTGGCGTCAAAAGCGAGGTGGGCCAATTAAGACATGGGCTGATACGGTCAGGAGAGATTTTTAATCTATAGATGGACCAATGATATATGGGACTTAGAGGATAAAAAAGGAATGATTTCTATTATCGAATAGTTTGGAGACGCCTAGTCAGCGGAGCCAGCCTAACCAGTATTGATGAGAACTATTAGAAGAAAAAGCTTTTATGATGAAATTATAATTTAGACCTAAGCATTTGACCAATTTGATTCAGTAGATCGTTTATTATTATTTTTCGTATTTGATATTGTATATCAGCAATCATTTGATAAACATATTTGGTGCATATCAGTTAATAATTCAATCGTTAATAAGCATCGCGTGTTTAGTTAAAATCATCGATATTATTATCATGCTGTTTTGAAATATTTATTAAACTTTCACTTCGAAATCAAATTTTTGGTTTGTACTTTTACTTCTGCTTTCTATTATTTATTCCACAGTCATCTAAAATTTTAAAGGTTATTCGTCAGTCGCCCAAAATATCAGTTATTTATCAGTTATTTGATATTTTAAAGATTTTCAAAAAATTATAAGGCAACCATTAATTCTTAGAATTGGAATTAAGACATGTAAAAAAAATAATTTTGTGGAACTAAACAGATCATTATTGTATTTAGCAACTAAAACATGATAATATACATAGATTTTTATTTATTCAATCGTGTATCAATCGAAACGATAAAAGTGATAAAATAGACATTGATTGATAAGTAGTTTATCAAAAATCAATCAACTAAGATTAAATTATCATTGATTTCAGTTGAAAAGTGTAAATTTAAAAAAATTCTTTCTCTTAGAAAATAATTAATATTAATGTTATCTGTTCTCCCTTGATTCCCACTTGGAACATTTTTTTTGGATATTTTATTTTTTTCTGATACATTTCAAGAATCATGGTTCAGTTTCCTCTGACTCGATGATGCTTGTCATTTAAGAAAAAGCCCCAGTGGTACTAGAGAATCCACGTGTACTTCTAATTCTAAGTGACTATCATTCAATTCAATAAAAATGATTTGTGCTTCAATTGGTGAATTTTCGTAAATGCGTTTCAATTATATGAAGCAGGCTGGTCGATAAGTATATTTTTTCGGATTAAATTTAGCTTGCTTGATTGTTCCTTCCTTGGCTCCCGGGCAGAAGGGCTCTAAATAGATCCTAAATTAAACCAGTCACTCCAGAAATAATGCGTGGTGTTAATGGATAAAGAATGAGGCATACGTGAAATGATGAACCGGATTTGCGCAAAAATTGTCCATCCATCGGAGCGAATAGCAATAATAACGATTAAAATAATAACGATTTGATGGAAAATAACAATCAATAAGGTTTTTCCAGTGAACCAATTAAATGTAAAAAATACAAAATGTAAATACGTTTAAAAATAAAATCTTTTTGCATCTTATTATATATTTTTTGCGCCATTCCACTTAATAGATTCTTTTTTATTTTTGTATTTTTTAAAATTTTTGTGGTGACATTTCCTTTTTTAGAAAATGGAATATGGTGGTCTTTCTCTCGATTCTTAATTATTTTATTTTTATGGAATTCATGGAATATTTTTTCTACATATCTTGTTTCCAGGATTCAGTGCTCCAGCATTTTTGTCTAAATTTCACTCGTCTATTCAATTCATTCTTTCTTCATTCTTAAAATGGATGTGCGTGTGTGTGTATAATTGTTGCTTATTCACATAATATATTAATTGAACACTTATATTTAATTGATTATCTTTTATAAAAGCCGAAGTCGATATTAAGGAGAGTTCAAGGGCATTAAGGCGAAATATGATAAGTTTATAGGGTCACAAATTTACTTCATCTTCAAGCGTCATTTAAACATAATCTTCGTCGATGCACTTCTTATCTTTTCAATTTTTTTCAATTTCTGCAAAAATCTGTCAATGTTTGTTGATAAACTTGTTATCAAAAATGAAATCTAGCAGATATTGGCGGTCCATTTCTGTTTCCATCAAATTCTTCGGCAAAGAGGTCTCATCCTAGTAGATTCACCAGACCAGCATAACCAGCCAAATCGGAGATGGTGTCGAAGTGCTGAAACATCTGAAAGTAGAAAATTTAAAATTGGCAATCTGTCCTTTATAGCTTTTGAATATTGCGCCATCAATAAATTATTATTTAAAATGAATCTAATAAATCATTTTTCTAATTGTTTTTATTTTTTCAAGTTTAACGCGCCATTTCCTGGATTCGATTACATTTCCGCAAAAACTCGTTTGACGAATAATTTCGCTATTGCATATTTTTTTAAAAAATTTTAGACATCATAGAGATAAAGTAAATAATAAGCATAAATCATTATTTTGCCGCATTAATTTATTTATTAATTATTGAATGAAAATAAGAGATTGGTGCTCGCTCGTTTGGCTAGTTTCGGTGGCCGCTTGGTGCAGTGAGGAATATATGTGCGAATCACTTGAGAATAGAACTATATTCAGCTGCCCACCGACCGAATTGTTAATGGTAAAGATGGAGCAAACCACAAGAAAATTTTAATTTTTTTAGAATGGAAGCAGAAGTGAAAAAATTGAAATTGAATGCTGATAATTTGGCTGTATGTTTACATTCCCTTCTTAAGCGTATCGAACAACTTGAAGGATCAGCAGGTCACGACAAAAGCAATGGAACTGCATCAGACATTAATATAAGTCCATCGAAAAGCATTGATGAGGCTTTAGGCGCACTTCTTGCTGAAGAGACTGAATCAGCAGTTAATGGACCTAAATCTGATGTAAAGGTAAGAAATTTTGCATTGTGCGTATTATTTTCACTTATTTTTTTTCAGTTTCTTTGGCCACGAGCTCTTTGGTTGCTTGATTCTTCAACTGTCTTCTTCTAAAGCGTACTTGTTGGGTCAGCTCCATCATCCATATCTTTGCCTTTTAAAGTTACCTTTCCTAGATATTAAATTAATTGGCCTTAAAAAACTTTAATGAAAGCACATTTTCAGTTATTCATTTAGGACTTCGCATTAAAGTGTTTATAATCTTTGCTCAAACTTTTCATTGGCCCATCTGTCAAGATTTTCGCGAACTTCTATAGTAATACTTTTTCGCGTGATTTATTCCGAACATTTTCGATCACCATTCGGTCGCCATCTTATTTTGCCTGGACATTTTTCGCAGTGAACCACAGTTAAAGAAGAACATTGCCATCAATTTGATGTCTTCCATAATGCGTTTGCCTTTCTGACAAATGGTCATTCAATATATGAAAAAATCGAAGATTTTCTTGTTTTTAGTGGTTATTGATTCTGCAGTTCTGGTGGTTCTAGATTCAGTTATTCCTTAATTGGTCGAAATTTGTGCAAAGTTGCAATCTATTCAGCATTTTCGCAGTGTGAAAAGTAGGTCAATTATATCACTTGCAGATCATTTGCAATGAGACGGTATCGATCGATCCGGATACAGGCTTGAAAAAACGCACAAAAGTTACGGAGCGAATTCTCACTACCAAGACTTTCCATGCAATAGCTGTAAATGATGGTGAAACACATGACTGTAATTATATTTCATTTTCAACGAATGAACCTCGTTTTATCACGCTGAAGAGTAATCCTTTCAATGATATTCGTTATCATCGTCAGGATGGCGCATTTTTCATTACCGAAGTAAAGCCTGCTTCATCATATGCTAAGGTAAATGTATTACTAAAGCATTAATTATTATATAAACGATTTATTTTAGCAAAATTGTCTCATAGTTTGACAATAAGCATCATAAGTTATTTGTCCCTTGGAAGAATTAAGACTATCACTCAATGCTATTTTTGCATATTTCGCTAAATTTTAACCGTAATTTTATAATAATAGTTCATTAATAGAATGCATATTTTTGTTGTTTTTTTCCTAATTCTTTCTCTCAGAATTGTTGTTCTCTTAGAATTCTCCATTCCTCTATGAATTATTTCTGTTTTAAGGACCTTCATTGTGGCGATGCAGTTGTTGAAATAAATGGCCAACCATCTTATACGATAAGAAATTTGAATTCACTTCATGGTGAACTTAAATTAAAAGTAGTTTCAATACCCATTCATCAAGCACCATCGGTTTGTTCTAATTAAACATCAAACATTTCTAATTAAACGTAGCAATTTTAAATTATTACGCTTTGGTGTACCATTTCTTTATTTACGCTATAACTATTCCTTTTCTATAATTATTTAAAACTCATAGGGTCGAAATTGCTGTTTAATACAATTTCCTTTTGGTTAAATTATTAATTGTATTCGAATATCGAGGTTGTAAAAATCCACCTCCGAATTATTTTTTGCAAAAATTTCTCAACGTACTAAGAAGCGAACCAGAAATGATCAACATCCATGTTTCAATTATAATTATAATAATTATAATAAGATTAGTGATGTTAATAATACTCGATTAATAATTCTACGTTGGATTGCAGTAAATAGATGCTAAATAGGATGAAGCAATCTTTGCTTGGTCTTTGCATATGAGGTGACCTAGAATTACACATCAAATGATGAGACTATAGATTTTTTAAATCAACCGTTCATTATTGATCTCATTATAGATTTTTTACCGAGCAATTTTTGATTATGATCCTAACAATGATTCATATATTCCACAAAAATGGTCTGGCCTAGCACTCAAGAAAGGAGAAGTCATTCAAGTTATGAGCCAAGATGATAAATGGATGCAGGTAGATTTGTTAAGGAATATTTACAATTCTATCCAGTCTTTTAGCTTGAAAAAAAAAATCTAATTTTCTTTCCTTCCTTCAGTCATTTCTCCTCTTAGTTTAGAGACTCCATTGTACATGTTTTATGTTTTATTACATTTCTCAACCTTTGCTATCACTTTGATCACTGACTTTGGTAAACCTTCAAGATACTTAAAATCTAGCTGGACCGATAGAGTTGATAAATTATGTAAATTATGACTGGTGCTCTTAAAGACTGATCGTGTAAGGATCAAAGTATCTACTTTTTTTTAAGTGAAAATATACTTTTCATGAAAATATAATGGGTTTCAGGCACGAAAAGTTAATAGTGTAGACAAAGTTGGTTTGGTACCCATTAATTTTGCAAGTGAACGAGTTGCGATGCTAACTCCATATGGAAGACGTGTTCTCATTCTGCTTGGTGCACCAGGTGTTGGCCGTCGTACGTTAAAATCGATGCTTCTATCTTATATGCCTCAATATTTTGCCACCGTTACACCACGTTGGTTTTTTTTTTAATTTATGGACCTATATTTTAATCTCTAGAACGCAAGCGATGTGTAATTGGAATAGAATCATCAATAAAGATGCTATTTATTTCAAATATTCAGTGATTAATTTGATTACAGTTACTTCTCGTGCACCAAAACCTAAAGAAGAAGAGGGTCGCGAATATTATTTTCGTACTAAAGCTGAAATTCTTAATAAAATTCGTGCTGGAGAAATGGTTGAATGGGGTGAACTTGATAATCAGTTGTATGGAACTAGGTCTTTCATTTATTCTGTTTATTTCTAAAATATTGAAAGCAACATGCAATTTCTTTTTAAAAAATTTTTAATAGTCATAAACCTTTTCATGATTAATAATATCACCAACCACAACACCTGTTGCTGTATAGCCTTTTTCTCAATAAATCTAAATAAAACAATAAAGCTTGATTGCTTGATTGACGTGTAGCGAAATTTACTAATTTATAATCTCGTAACACAGGAGAGAACTGTTGAAACTGTGCTATCAAGCACTTCTAATATCCAAATTCAAGTGGTCTGATTCTAATAACCAATTGGACAGGCAATTATGAAAATAATGGCTGAAATGATAGGAGAAGTCGTCGAGATTGCAATCAAAACTTGAAATTGGCAGATTTCATCGTATATAATGGAAATTGCCAATTTTTCTCGCATTTTTCGATGAGCATAACAATAGTGAATAGAGAAAGACTGGATTCCATAAAAGTTTTGCCTTTTTTTCAGTGCGGATACGATACGTGATTGCATAAGGGGAGGAAGAATGTGCGTTCTGGACTGTGCGCCACAGGCACTTCGTTATCTCTATAACAAAGAATTTATGCCCTTTGTCGTCGTTATATCTCCACCAGATCTTACTGATCAGTGGCAGATTAATAAAGCGAAGCCGAATCCTCGCACCGAAGAACAACTACAAATGACAATCGAGGAAAACAAATTACTTCTGTCCAGTGAATATGCCAAAATGTTCCATCTAATTCTTCCTAATAGAAATATTGATATCACTTTCAGAAGGTTAATTTTGTCTGTTTTTTTATATGTTTTTTTTCCATCAATAGATCAACAGATGGAAGAAAAATTATGGGAACAAATTTTAACCTTTGCTTTGCCTTTATGTCTTAAATAGCGCCAATGAAATTTCAAGAGTGACATTTCGTTAATATTATTATTATTCATTTATTACAAGCGTAATTTGAAACTTGTCAAATTTTTTTAAAAATTTATCAGCTGAAAATTTCATAGAGCAGCGGTATGTGCTTTATATCCATATTTCAGGTTAATTGATGCTTTAAATCAACTAAAATCGGAAATACAATGGGTGCCAGAAGTTTGGCTATCCCGCTAGCTATGTCTTTCCATTTTCTTCATATTTCCTTTTGATTTTAGTGATATAATCGAAACAGTGGCAATGATTAATCAGTATTAACTGACAATGTTAATTATTACAAGTAAATACTCTACTGAACAATCTAAATATGCAAAATTCCTATTCTTTACTTTATAAAATTCTTTTTCTAATAATCCTTGACCTTTACTTCTTTAGTTATTAGGATGAGAATCCTTCGCAAGAGAATTATAGGATTAAAAAGATAAGATGATAGATAAGTGGTACATAAATAACCTATTTCATTTCTAATGTCAAGATTATTCCCGTAAAAGAAAAGAAAAGAATGGAACCTGGTAATTAAGCCTTATTCGAAGCTGTTCTACCGGCTATTTTTTGCTTACAAAGTGGGAATATACTATTTTTCTATTTTATTTACTGTCACCTCCTTTGTTCTTCCAACCCATTCCATTTAGTTTTTAATAAATACTATAATAAACACGAAAAGCAAATAGTTTCTTTAGCCAATGAAGATACGCTCCAATTTTGATTCTAATAATTCTATTTTCTTACTTAATATAAATACGTTGCATATTTTTTTAAATGCTTGTTTTTGCATTATAATGTTCGTTTATTATAATTAATTTGAAAAGTTATTATAACTAATTTGAAAAGTAATATCTTTTATCAAAAGATTTTTATGGAATTCGGCTATAGGCGATTTTCGAATATAAGATTCAAATCCAGAAAACCCCAATTGCACTTATAATATCGGGACGCAGAATTTGTATTGTGTTTCTATCAAATTTCCGTCAAATTCTAGTCTATTTAAACCTCATCGAAAGATATTTTTAACTAAATATAAACCATTAAATTTTAAGCTTGTTTAAGCTTGTTTAAATCTCAAGAAAAAAACCCTAATTTCGAGTTCGCAGACTAGTTATAAAGCTTTACTGTAACAACTGGCCATTTTTTCTTCCTTAATCTAATTTATCTAATCTGATAATCTAATTTTAAATGTATAATTTATTATGTATGCACCTATGTGCACCTATCTATTTATATATTTATTGAAAACCAGCCAAGCAGAGCGACAGTGTCATGTGCTGTATTAATAACAACAGTTAAAAAAACAAATAATAAAATTTATTAATAAGAAAAATAGAAAATATGACAAAAATTAACAATTTAAAGAGGAAATTACAAAATAGTATAATATAGTACAATTCGAAGAAACTGTATAAATTTCACACTTCATGCATGATGGGAATTTTTTAAATAATATTATTAATTATTATTAATAATATTAATATTAAATGATATTATCTATCCTTTTTTAAAGATAACTAGGGATGGCGCACAAGCTATATCGTTCGGTAATTTATTCCAGAAATTAATATTATGAATAAAGAAATCATGAATCCTTATTTAGTTTTACACATAGGTTTTAATAATTTTAGCCCATTAGTTCTTATTGGATTGAAGTGGATTTAATCTAAAATTGTAATATTTTGATCATCTAATTTAACATAACCATATAGGATCTTATAAGTATAAATTAAATCTTACGACGAACTGAAAAAGAATCCAGGTTATCATTAAAGTTTTCTTTTATAATTAAAATTGCAATTAGGATAGAGGCGTCATATAATCCACTATGTTCTTGGAGCCCTTCAATTATTTTACTTGATTTACGATATCTCTGGGACTGACATATAGTATTGTAGTCAAGAAATGGCCGGACGAACGCTTTGTATATTTTGATAACCTTCAGTTTTGTTCTTAAAAGAATAAAAAATAAAATTTAGTATTTTTGAGGACTTTTTTACTATGAAATATTACGAAAATGTCGTTAGTTACTGGACTTAGCCAAAAAGCACGAAGCTTTTATTTTCATATTTTTCAGCAAATTTCCATTTTTCTTATATTTTCATCATTAGGTAAGTTAGCACTGACTATCTAAGAATAGCTTCACTAGCTATTAATAGGATAAGATAATTTTGTAGGGAATCTCTTATGAACGTAGTGGATGAATATTGGTGAATTTTGAGTACCATGCAGACTTTTTTAACATATTGTGTAGCGTAAGGATCATAATATTCAAACCTACTCTTCTATTGACAAAAATTGATTTCTTGTTTGGAAATATTTTGGAAATAATTGATATTATCAGCAGTTCAAGTCAAAAGCAGTTTCTACCATTTTTTGAAATAAGTGGAAATGATATGATTATCACTGACTAGATTTGGAAAAACGAAAGTCCGCATCTATATAGCCGTGATTCATTCGATCTTGCTATATGTTCTGAGACATGGCCAATGAGAGTGGAGGAAATTAAGAAATTATCTACTTTTGACCACTCTTGTCTAAAATACATTTGTCGGGTACGTCAAGCGGACAAAAAATATCACATCTTGCTTCGTTCAAATACCACTTGCATCAATAATGTTATCACAGAGCAAGGCCTTCGCTGGCCCGTCGTCCACCACAGGAGTTGACGCATATTTTGTTACTTTCTAAGCCGTGTAATGGATGGTGTCAAAAGAGAGGTGGGCCAATCAAGAACCGGACTGATATGGTCAGGAAGGATTTTGAACGTAAAGAAAGACCAGCAATATATGGACTTAGACGATGGAAAAAGGAATGGCTTCTATTACTACTAGCGATAGCGTCAGATCGAGCAGCTTGGAGCAGTTCTTATCCTTGTAGCTGTTGGAGCCAGCTTAACCAGTAATGGTGAAAGCTGTTAGAAGAAAGAAGAAGGCTAGATTTGGAATTCTAGAACTATTAGACTTATATTTATCTAAAAAATTAAATGAATAATCAAAAAAAGTTGCAAACTTGGACAAGAAGAAAAAAAATTCATCATTTAGTGTTAGTTGAAAACAAAATTCAGTATTTTTATCTAATTTGATAACTTATTTTCTTTTTTTGAATTTTTTGTTTAAAATAAATCAGACCAATCAACAGATGCCGATCTTTTTTTTTTAAGAGTCTTACCATTACTGTTTACACTCGTTCCTCCGGTTTATCGCACTAGGCAAATATGAGAAAATCCCTTGACGAGAGTACAGGTAAATCAGAATCATATGAACTGATGCTGATATTTTTTATGAAAAGGTGGACTAAGGAATTTGTCTTAAGATATTGCTGGAATTTAGCGACAAGAAATAGGAAATTTTTTGTTTTCCAGACATGGCTTTTATAAATTATAAATTTATCAGATTTTTTAGATAAATATTAGTGCATAGTGAGTAATATTATAAAAATGTGGTTGAAATACAAAATGAAATACAAAAAACTCTTAATTATGTATATTTTCTAATTATTTCATAATTTTTCATCGAAAGGAATTTCATAATTTTTATTAGAAGGCTTTAATGCTATAACTATTGGAATTCAGAGTAACTATTGGAATATCACAGTTTTCTGGTAAAAATATTTAAAATATTGTTGCAAATATAAATTAAGAGCTGAAATAATAAACTGCGAATAAGTTAGGAATACAAAGCAAATTAAATGTCAACCTTAAATTATCAGTATAAATCACTAATAACAAGCAATAAATGTTCAAATATTTAAATATTTATAGTCCATAAACTTTATTATTGCAGACACATCCGTACGCAAATGAAACTTACGATGAATTCTCCAATTAATGGTCCTCCAGTTAGTATGGGGTTTTGTGATCAATAAAATTTAAAAAATCACGTTCGCAACAGACATATTTGCTCCACTTACTAGACCAAAGGCATCGTGCATCGATACTAAGTGAAGTACATTGTGGTTGACTAGTTTGTGATGGAAAACATCTTACTGGTGAACCATTTTTAATAACAGTTGAGAATCCCGGAGCACCTGAGCAATCCGATCGATTGCTAGATGAAAACATTGCGCCACGAAATGAATGTTTCTCGGCCTGAAATTGGTGTTTTTAGCAGAAAAAGTTTTAATATAAAATTGGATTTTGCGCATCAGGTGGATAGCGAAAAACTCTGTATTGCTCTGTATATGCGTATTGCTCAGTTAGCTGAATCCGACCTATCCATTCGCAGTAAATAAGTGACGCTTACCATTCCTGGCTTTAATAGTTAGGAATTTTTACCACATAGCTACTCGCCGATAAAAACACAGTCTTATCATGAATATTTTTTAGCATTATACCTGACAGGACAAGAGACGAACCTGAGCCTCTCAAAATAATCTAAGCATTATCCACAGCTAGTACTTACGGTCCTTTGGCAAAAGCTTAAATAAAAATAGATATTATCTCTGATAACAATGATTTTATATAAACTTATCTGTAAATGACACTTAAAGAACAAAAGTAAAATTTTATCTGTGACAAATGCCATTTTTGCCATATTTAAAAAAAAAACTTACTTTGCAGCATACAAAGCCATACTGATCACCGGTATAAAGACAAACTGAATTATCTGGACAATATAATGGTGTTCCAGGCCGAGAACGGGGTGAACAAGTACGATAATTATTTTTCATAATAACAGGCATGAGATTAGGTGGCTTTGGTGGGCAAATATCTGTAAAAATAAAACATTTAAAGAGTTTTAAATTAAATTAAAGCTTTTTGCGAAGGATATTGAAATAATTGAGGTATATGATTATGATTAGACTGTTTTCAATATTGCTATGCTTACTGCCATTGATAGTGTGTTATATTTTTAAATAATTCCGCAGTAAAGAAACAATTATTTTCCATCATAGTACCAAGAATAAAGCCTGATCTTACTAGACAGTCGGAGTTCACTTTCAAGGCCACAACATATATATCTATCGAGGCTCGTTGAATATTGACAATGTCGATTTGCGCCACAAGAATGTCTTAAATCACTAACTGGTGCTGACGGACTACAAAATCGATATTGTGATCCATCGTCACCAGGTACTGATATTAAATGTGGTGGACAGTCTGCAAGTTTCGATAAATATTTCGAACAAATTCTTATCAATAATTATCAATAATTAAAGTAAAGAGCAAAGTAGCAAAATGGTTAATAAGTAAAATCACACATCCAGTGTCTACTGTTGTAGGAGATCTGCAACAGTAAAAAGCATTGACTGCGTTTGAAGTCGTAGAGAACCAACAGAAAAAATTGCCAGGACATGAACCATCCACATTTGGTGTGCACTGCATTGGTTGTGAGGTTAAAGCAGATATAAATGGCGTCGAACCAGAAGGACAAAGAGCTAAAAATATTTTTTTGACAATTCATAAATTTTCCATTACAATTTTAAATTTTTTAAATTGCATTGCAAGGTGATTTTTAAAAAAAATTTACATTGAAGATCAGTAGAAGCACCACAGCAAACATTTTGACCAAGTAAAACGCTACTGTAGCAGGAATATCCTTCAGGACAGCCACCTGAAAGACGCCCAGCTCCACCAGGATTGGAGCACTTCATCAACCTTGATGAATCCGATTCTTTTGCCACAACTGTACCAGGCGGACAAGATTCTGATAAGCAATAGCTTTGACATGCTTTTTGATTAGCAAAATTGTTCCGATTACCTATAGTGGGAAAAATTAAGCAAAATGTATTTTGCACATTTTTTTGGATTTAAAAAAACTTACCTCCACATCCATTGTATTCGAACGATTGACAAGTTTTCAATTCAGGATTAAAATTATAACGGGTAATTCGAGTTGAACTGCAACGAACACCTGTATCACGTGGTTGGCTACACACATAATTCTTCGATGGACAACAGAGGGATTTGGTTTGATAGACAGAACCTGTCCATGCGGTTACAGGAGTACAATAATGTGTAGATGGACACTGATGATTTGTGGTGCATGTCCGCACTGCACCATTATATTCTTTCCATACCTGTATGATTAGAAAATCAGAAGCAAGATGTAAGGAGACAAATTTTCAAACCTTAATGGGTGTTTGAGAAAATATGACTGCATTTGTCAGTTATGCGAAAACATTGTAAGCACATTTATCAGGGTAGGCAATATAACGAAACTAATAAAGCTAATGGAAATAAACGAAAAGAAAAACTTGAAGGCAGATAGAGGAGTTATAAATAGCGGAAGAAATTTTGGCACGAATTTACCTCGCCTCCATCTGGACAACTTTCTACTCGGCAATAATCTTTGCAGTCTTGTTGTGTAGCGAAATTATTCGAATTTCCATCGCAGCCACTGAAAGAAAATGTCTGACAGGTGCGTGATGATGAGTGATAGTACCACCTGGTCACTGCTGGACCACAAGTTGCACCACGTTTAGGTGACAATGAACATGTGTGTGCTGCAGTATATAAAAAATTAAATAGAGAACTATGCAGATTTGCTTGGTTTTTTTTTCAAACATTTATATTTAATATAAGAATATATTTGTTGAATACCGCCAAACGAAGTAGTAAACCAGAGCTGGAGGAAAAGTTAATGACATTGGAACAGTCAGGAAAACAGACAAATCTAAGGTGTTCTTGATAAATGTGGTTCGTAACCTTGCGTTGGGCAACATCCATATGTTGTCCCATCATAATAACAATAATGATTTGCTGGACATGTCGTTGTTATGGATGTTGATCCCCCACAAATAATGAAATTACCATTAGAATCTGTTAGTGCAGTTCCTTGAATGCATTGAGGCTCACCTATAAAAAAAATTTGTATAAATAAAATAGCTGCATTACTATCAATGAATCACTGATATAAGATAAAAGGTTCGAAGATATGGCCATCTAAAAAACGAAGAACCTTGTTGCCGACAGTCTATATACACCAGCTGGCAAAACCAATCTTAAAAAAATTCGAGCTAAGCAATTTCGAAAACCATATGAATTTAAGGTTTCTGGAGCAAATTACAGCAAACTTTTGTAAAAAATTAATTAGTTTTTACACCTTAAGTCATTTTAAGAAAATATTACACAATAAAAGCAGCAAATTCCAGAATGGACATAATCAATGGGATTTTGACCATGGTAAAGATTATAAGAAACATACTTCGTGCATCTCTGCAATAATCTTGGCATTCTTTATAAGTCTCGAAATTATTCGCATTGCCTTGACATCCAGAATAGACGAACTCTTCACAGTTCCCGGTTTTCGCGTTAAACCACCATCGATTGCTATATGTGCCGCAGTTGCCTTGTTCACGAGGTAGCTTACAAACATACCTGCAAACGTACAGAAATTTTCTGTGTCTCTATTTTTATGCAATTTATTTTTTAAAGCAACAAAAAATCTGGTTGACTGAAAATATGTTATTTAGACATAACAATCCCAATGTTTAACTAGAATAAACGCCATCATTAAAAGTGAAATTACAATAGTGCTTAGTATAAGTTACAATTACAATAATAATTTATAAATAAATTTATAATTTGTAAATTATAAATTTTATATATATATATAATTTTATATATAAATATAAAATATATAGTTATATAATTTTATATAATATTATATAATTTTATTTATATAATTTTATATACAAATATAAAATAAATTTATAAATTTATTATTTCTTGGTCGACAGTGAATCGAATATTATTGGTAGCACTAGCGAAAAAAATAACATTTGGCGAAGTTTGCAGCAAATTATTGCTTGTTAAAATTTCACTAAATTAGCCTAAAAGGCGAAAAAATAAAGGAAAAAAGGCGAAAGAAATCTTACTGGGACTTGGGACAACAAACTCCGCCAAAAATTGCTGAACCAGACGTCGACTCACAACTATGCGTTGAGGGGCAAACATTAGATCCAGATCCACTTGGTGAACAGTCCATATTACGTTCACCACTGCTATCCTTAAGCGGTTCACCAGCACTACATAAGACTGAAAGAAATACCAGATGTTATCTGCATATATCAAATGAAATATTGGAGCATATTTTTCAGACAACGATAAACGATATTTTAATTTTTGAAAATAAATAAAAATAAACAAATAAAATTTACTGCGTGAACAAAATTTCTCACAATGATCCTGAGAGAGAAAATTATTGAAATTGCCTCCTTGACCGTAATACTGTAATAAAAAAAAATAAGGTATTCTTACAATAGTCTTCTACTCTATAGTCTTTTCGATATCGAGCGCTGTGCTGATAAGTGGTTAATTCATTACTTTTAGTTAGGTTTGCTCCTTATGCTGTTGGTAAATAGTGAGCAAAGGAATTATTTGGGGATATAAATGCAGCTGGGGCCCCAGAACCATGGATTTTTAAATGGTGGTTCCATGAAAGTAAGGAACAGTCAGAACAAGGAAATAATTTGAGCAACAACTATTTCATTATCTTACTTATTTTACATAATTTTATGCTGATAAACTCATTGTTTAAAAAGAGAAAAATTGAAATCTCAACTAGATTCAAGATTTATGAAACTGAACCGAAAATTGAATACAGCGACCCTCTCGTGAATCGTAATAAAATCGTGGATATATATTGCCTGTCCCATCCTCGACACCAGCATCGAAATAATCAGTAGGGACACCACCTACTGAATTGTATACTTCTATTGGTATTCCACCACTTCTTGAACATATATGAGCTAAAATTTAGTTGTGCCATCTCAAAATCTCTTAATCCTAGACGTTAATATTTTTTAAAAAAATAAGGAATCATACATAATAGCTTGATTAAAAAAGCTTAGTTTAAAAGTTGCAAAATGCATCGTGATTATATTTACTGTGTGAAGGACAGCACTGTTGTAAGGTACCCATTGATGTGCATACATAATTGGGATTATTACAACCACTGTCATCTCCTTGACAATATACTGGTTCTTGTTTGGCACCAATTATTCGATCTCGATAAAGAGGCAAACCACGATTGCATGCTGAATATTAACATTCTGAATTTTGAAACTGTATAATGCAATCCGGTCTAGGAGTGTTTTAATTTGTATTCTGTGGGTTTAATCTATACTGTGTAGATTTATGCTTCAAAACTAATACGGGTTAAACTGCTAAGCAAGTAAAACTGAACTGAATGCACAAGTCGACTGCAATAACTATGAAGGCTTTTGGTCTTTGAGATTTAACGTGAATAACATCGAAATTGAATTTTTTTCATTGTTTGTAGATTGGATACGTGGAACCTGTTCGTTAACGTATCTAATCGGTAAATATTTATTATTTAAGTATTCATAGCATTTTTAAAATTACGAAATTGTGGTGTTGGAATGCGTTTTAACGTTAAAACATTTAAGCAAACATTTAACGTTAAAACATTGTTTAAAAAGAGAAAAATTGAAATCTCAAACTCAATTTTGCTTGGACTAATCACATCATACAAGATGGTACGAAATTCTTAGAATGATGCAGTTCAATTAGTACTGGCCACTCGATTCAGCCACCATATTTCGATTTATTCATCTGTTATGGCAGCCAATGAAACTTCCTAAAAATGCTGCTGGGAATCTTTTCCCAAGTGATTTTCAAATGACGAAATCCTATCCTAATAGCCGATAAAATTAGCCAAACCAGAAATAAATATTGAATACTTTTAGAAGAAATACCTATAAAAATGCCTATGATGGCGATTTTTGAAAAAATTAAATAATTATTGTAAACTGGATTGAAAATTTGCTTTGTTTTCAGCTGAATATGTGATTTTAATAGCGCAATAAAAAATTTCCGGACAGAATCAAAGAAAGTAAAAAAATTTAACGATGCAAAAAAATCGAGATTACTCTGTTTGCAGTAACTTTCGCAATGATCCTTCGTCTGAAAATTATTCGCATTTCCACCGTTTCCTAAATATTTAAGCTCGCGACATTCTCCTGTTATCGGATCATGGTACCAGTGGTTTAGTGTTGTTCCTCCATCTGGAGATGTATAACCTTCATTTGGCGGTTGAATGCATGCAAATGCTGAAAATAACATATACAGAGAGCTTTAAGAAACTGACATATCTGCTGGAAATCGAAAAAGTGTCTCTCGGTAAATATTTTGAAATCTTCATATCTTTTGTCTTATGCGTGGTCAAATAAACTGGGACATGGGAAGGAAAAAACTAAGTTGCTTCAGATGAAGTTATCATGAGTTTCTCCTTGATAATAAACTATGTCATCAAGAATGAGGATAATTAGTGGGCCATTCTGTCTCCAAGAATCATTTCTATTTCCAAGATCTTTGGGGAAAGGAAAGGAAAGGAAAGGAATTCATCTAATAGTCAGTAGAGCTAACAGACCAAACAAAGGAGAGTTAGAAGAAAAAAAAGTAGGAATGAAAAATAAAAAACATGCACACCACGCGATGGACAGCAAAAACTGATTGGATTATCAGCGGTGCAATCAGGTTTATCGCAAATACAGTCATAAGCTAATGCTCCAATAGCCTCACATGATGCGTCAGATCCTCCATAGCACTGCTGCACTTCATTTTTTATACGAAATTTTGGATTGTTTCCATTCAATGGACATAGACCGTAACTTAGACAAACAAGACCATCACGAGTTCTTCAAAATATGATGCTTTATTACCACAGCACACCTAGTTTAATATGATTTTAAATTAACGTGTAGGTAAAGCAAATGATTTTGAATCGTAGCGCCTTTTTGAATTCACCAAAATTTTATTAAATTTGTTGCTGCTAAGCACGTTTCGTTAAGATGAAAAAGAAAATGCTGAGTACCTGAATGGTGGATTGTTATTTGCACATCTGCATACACCTGATTTACAATATGCACCTGGCCATACAGCCTCGCATTGCCGATTTTGCATGCATCCTGATTCACCGGGACTTATTTCTAAAATGGATCACATTATTGTGTCTATTTTACGATTTGCCAGGATTGACTTATCCCTTCACCGGCGATTCTAAAAGCATGGCTTTGCAAAATTCAAATACTAATATACTAAAGAAAGTTTGAGAGGAAACGGAGTGATATGAAAAAGTTGGCTTTCAATGAAATTAGAAAAAAATTATAGATTATTTCACTTACTTCTCCAACAATAAGAATCAATTTCGACGTAGGTTGTCAAGCACGCGCACTTTTTGTTACCAGTGCAATAATTGCCGGTACCGCAGTCTGTTGATGCTTCACAAGGCCTTCCCACTGTACCGTGTTGAGCTTGAACATGCTGACTAGTGTAAATTAAAAAACAAAAAAGCCACTTCGCCATTCAGCGCTGAAAGTAAATGCCCTCTATCAAATTACAGTAAAAAGCCCTTCCTTCGATTCTTTTCACAGAATTTTAAATAGTCCAGAAGAATTTCCGCCAATCACTTAGCAATTCAGAAGCTTCTTTTCAGAAAATAGAAAGATTCCTCCTCAGAACTTATAAAGTGTTCAGAAGAAATTGTGAGGAATGCATCTAAGGCGGAGTCGTTCTTCGAGTAAATATTTTGTAAACTATTTGTTTAATCGGCAATTCGATGAGGAACATTTTAAGTTTTTCAATTAACAATTGTTTTTTGCTATATTTATTTGCTTATAGGAGGAAATGAAGAAGTGAAAATCGCACTTATGCTGGTGTCAGAACAATGGAATTAAAAGACTTTACTTGTTGAATCATATTTACATGAAAGCAGGCAAAAGTGTGATTAAAATTATCCATAAACATTGTTATTATTTGATTCACAATTAACAATATTAAAATTTTTTTACAAAATTCATCGAAATATCATCAAATGTTATCACTGCTGTCATCTCGGAGTGCCGACGCTGGGGTTCTATTCCGGGCAGGAAAAGATCATCCAAAAATCCGGATGACTCGCGGTCCGCCAATACTTTTGTTGCCAGCAACAGTGAGTGCTGCAAAAAAAACAAATAGCTATCAAATGAGGAAGTTTCTTCATTCGGCTAATCCAATTTCAACTTATAACTTCTCGAATATAATTATAATTAATTTACTTGATTAGCGATCTTTCTTTTATCGTCTTTCTCTAGCCACTCACCTTTTTTCATTAGGTTAGTTCCACCAACTTAAGGTGGAACGCTTTACCAGAGAGCCACTTGGGAGTACAGCTGCGTCCACGCCGTCCACATCTGAATGATAAGTTTGCCGCAAGGGACAAGAATCAACCGACAAACGATTTATTTAAGCATCAAAATAATGTTTTTCGATGCATAAAACGATGATTTCGGTGAATATCGGCTATTCATTGAAAATTCCGTTATTTCGTTTCATTTTAACTTTATTTAGCGAATAGTTCAACAATGTTCATACGGATTTCTTATGTAAACGATGTATAAAGTAAGCAAATAGGTCAACTGGCTTGCGCAATCCCGTACATTGTCGGCTCAATTTTCCACCCTTATTGCTATGTCACGATTTTAAAAACGGTGCATTTGCTTTCTCTTTTCTTTAATCGTAATCGTTTTAATCCTTCACTTTATTTTATTTATTTATTACTTTATTTATTTATTTACTACTTTCCATAACACATTTCGTTGCAACTATCGTAAAATGCTATTTATATGCACGTCAGAGCAAATTAAATTCCGTCATGAAATATTATAAAACATTTGAAACATAATTCTATGAAGAATAAACCACAGTGAAATGGAATAGATCGAATCCGACCGAAGAAACCATTACAAATTTGATTTTTCCTTCCCAGTTATTTGCCACTGAAAGTAAAATCCGAGCGATGCTCTCGACCCATTTTCTGGCGAGTATCTTTATTATAGCTTTGTTACTCAGCTAAGCCATTGACCCCAAATGCTCTCAGTAGAAAGGCAGCCACATCAGCCACATTTAACAATGCCAAATGTGTGGAACACGCACACACCAACAAACCACAAATCCAATAGAAAGCGTTTTAATGCAGTCGAAATTCCATGAAAAAGTGAATATCCATTCATTTATTGAAAAGTCAATTACTACAGTCCACTGAACGTTGACAATTCGAACTAATTTTTTCGAATTTCCTTCATAACATCCATGATTACAGGTTTATGCAGAATACAAAAGAAACAAGCTTTATTCAAATAATTGTCAGTGCAAAACTTGTCAAAAATATCGAACGGCATACAGTTCAGAAATTCGCATATTTCGATAGGAAAGATCTTTTTTGGCAAAAAATTCTGTCCCCTCTCAAAAAATTTATTTTACTCCATTAATATCACTAAATCCTTTTGTGCTTCCAAAATCACATAAATTCTGCTCGATTCTGCTCTCAAAATATTTTATGAAACAATAACTGATAACGACAATAAATGGGAATGTATTGGTTGGTTATTGACATATTTCGTATATGCTAAAATAAGTCAATATTGCTCACAAACAGATAATCTAAATATATGTTTTTCGCAGCTTTGTAATCAATCTATACCATTTCCTTTTTTGTTTTTGCCCATTTACTTTGTTAAAAGCTGATTGTTATAGAAAAATTTGGGCAAAATAAAAAAGGAGAAAGAAAGTTGCATTTGTTTAAAACAAAAGCATATATATATATATATATATATAATTATTACTAATCTGCAATAATTAATTTTAACTGCACAATAATAATAACAATAATAACAATGAAAATGATGCAAACAATTCATCGATTTTTCGCAACATTTGAAAACAATTCACATTTGCTTCAATAAGGACGTTAATAAAATTGGCAAAATGGGATAACCTGATCGATTTAACTAAGTTTAACTATTAATTAAAAAATGGCCAAATGAATTGCTTAAAGAGAAATAAAATTTGATAGCAAATGTGAATCTAATATAGTAAATCGACATTTCAATCTTTACCAATTTCAATCAAGAGAAAAGAAAACTGGATAGCTGATCTCATTTGCAAGAATACCATTCATAGATGAAAGTATCGAGAGATAGGCAACTTGCTCACGTATATGTACAACCCACTGGAAACTGAAAGTTAACAGATATTTTTTCAAATTATCTTATATCCTCTTCCACTTTTCTCCATTTAATCTTTGTTTAGCTTAAATGAAGAATCATTCCAAATAGCTTTATATAGCTTTAATTTTCATAATATCAACCAAGATTCCTAACATTTAAAGAAGCTGAATGAATAAAATCGGAAATATTTTAAAATTTCAGTATTTCTCAATATTTCTCAATCACCCCAAACAGTACGACATTTACATAACTCATAACAAGCAATTTAAGCAAATCTTCGAAAAATAATGCGAGAGAATACTGCAAAAACTGAAAAAAAGAGAAATAAAAGCAGAGCGATAAGCTTATCCAGCGAATCTAGTAAATAGCTATTTTTTCTCTTTAATTCAATTTCATATAAATCCTTCATATAAATCCAAAGTTTTTAACATCCAATCAAACTGATGACAACAAATGAACGAAATTTTGATTTAAAAAAACGTATCCTTAGATATTTCCTTCTGCGCGCGGTAAAGAATAAAACACTTATCCTTAATTTGTAGAAACCATCTGCTTTCTTGAAAAAAATCCAACGCTTCACGAAAACTATTATAAAAAATTTTAAAATACTTCGATTTCCATTTTAGAATCAACAACAAACATCAAGTAGAGAAAACAATTTGTGATTGAATGCTGATTTTTTTGGATTATAAAAATGATTGTTTCAGCTGTGGCTAGAAAGTATTTATCAATAATGATAATTTTTCAAAAAATCTTGAAAAATCCGTGATCTAAATGAAAGAAACTATTAAATACCATTTTATTAGAAGTGCAAAACATTATTTTCTAACCTTATCAAGATAATGCATAATTATTGTGTGGCAGATACTGTATTTCCTGGAATAGCTTGAAACTGATGCAAAGTATTGGAAAGCACTTCTCTTACCCGTATTTCATCTACCTAAAATGTAAAATAAAAAGAAATACGAATTATTCGAAAGATTTGTTCTAAAAAAAGGTTCTTTTACCTCCGATACAAGTCCTTGTTGAACTAATTCTGCAGCCAGATTGGTTCCCGTATCACTTTTACCAAGCTCAGTGGTGAGTTGTCTATTCATCAAATCATTGAATTGCAGCACAATAGTAAGTGTTGACCCTAAAAATCCGTATGCATCGTAATATTTGAAAAATTAGCTAAAAAAATCATTGAATAACCAAATAAAATTTAAAAAAAAACAAAAAATTAGTGAAAAATGTCCAATAAATTCAAAACAAACCTTGCATTTTAGCATCAAACCTGACAATCGAGCGAGATTCACAATATTCACTGTGGGAATCACCAGAAGGTGAAGGAGAAGGTTCCACCCGTTCACTTGGTTCCGAAAAATGGTCATCTGTAATGAAGACAAAATATATTCACAAAATATAAGCCCAAAAAATTCAATAAGCCAAAGAAACTAAAAATTTGTAAATTAATCAATGATGCTAGGAAAACGAAAAAGACTGATAAATTATCATAATTAATGCACAAATTTGATTTTTCTGCTGAAAAGTCTTTAGGCAAGTTATTATCAATATTAACCAGATTGCTGGCCACCAAGTGCCGACGAAGAAATAGATGAGGTTATCTTTTGACGCATTGAAGGGACATAAGCTGTTATAGGATAAATACCGTTATTTACATCATCGATAAATTTATCCAGATCGAACTGAAACGGCAAAACATCAAAAAATAAAAAATAAAAAGAAAAACATAACATTGATAAACTAGCAAACAACCTGAAATGAAATCACTTCTTCGTATGTCATTTCACGCAGCTTTGATGCAGCAGCAACTTTCTTAGGATTTTTTACACGAAGATCGTCCACAGTTAAGTTCTCATTTAATCTATATTCAACAATACGATGAGCCGATAAAAGTTTCAGTGAATGCACCTAAAAAAAAAAAAATGGAGTCATAAATTTCATGGCAAAGTATATCATGGTAAAGATGACTATTAGAAACTGCGTAAAATCTAAATAAATGATTAAAGTAATCAAAAACCATAGATAAAAAATAAAAATAAATAAAATAAGTTGAAAAGTAAGAAGATAAAATTTAAAAAACGAAAAAACCTCAAAAAGTATAGGATGAAAGAGAAGTTCTCGAGCAGTTGGCCTTTTTGCTGGATCAGAATCCAAACATTTTAAAATGAAATCCTAAAAACTTAAGGCAATTAAACTTTTAAAGCTTGAAATTCAATCTCATTGGGAAAATTAAGTCGCTATAATCTTAAAAACGTTTTCATGCAAAAATATGGTCTAGGTTATCGAAATCTAAAATCTAAATTTTCACAAAAGAAAAATCAACACAACCTTTTGTACCGAATCATCAATCGTCTCGATCGCTTTACGGATTATTTCTAATGATATCATGCTAGTCGCTTCACCGCCACCATTTGCAGAACCGAGACCGCCTTGAACAGCCATCTGAAAACAAATCGATACATTAAATATTCAAAGGATGCAATTTATTTAGTGTCAGTTAAAAAATGAATGAAATCTAACCTCAAGTGCGCAAATTCCAAATGAGTAGATATCAGCTGGAGGTGCGACTGTAGTGCAATCTAAATTAAGAGGCGTAAAGAATACTTGAAACCCCAAATTCTCTGGCCTTAAGAAAGAGCAGTTCAGCCCAAGAAATCCGAAGAAAAAAACAGACACTTTTGTCAGTCACAAAAATTTCCGAAAAGTTAAATCCGCAAGTTCCACCAACTTAACTTAACAAAAAATTGTCTTTCGTATCAGTACCATTTAAAGGTTAAATGGACAACAAAGGCATCAACCAATATACTTTCTTATCTGAGTTTATTTTATTACACACCAGTCACACACCAACAGCTTTATCAGTCGATCTATAATATTTACACCCCAGATTTAAATAATCTACCAAATTATTACAACTGAATGTAAGATTGTATTTACTTCAGAAATAAAAAAAACATTAAACTGTAGCCAATTTTTCTTACGTTCATATTCTGGTGCTACGTAATGCATATTTTTGATATTCTCGCGGAACGTTTTCACATGATGATGGATCGCATTCGGAGCAACTGGAAAAATTCACACCGAATTTATCATTTTATGAAGAAAAACAAAACTATACCGCCACCTTACATAAAACGAGCAGCTTATTTTACGGAAGCTAAGAGTCTTGAAAGCATTCATATAAAAAAGCAGGAAATTTATAACAGAGAAAATTATAAATGAATACTCCAACTACAGTTAACTGCAAGTGGACAGTTAGATAATTTCAATAATCTAGTCAATCTGCATCCTTACATTAAAACTGAAAACTATAAATATAAAAAATTTGGACTAAAAATTACTTTGATTAAATAAAAATTTAGAAAAAACTGACGTTTCACTTTTTTGAAAAAAAAATGAAAATCAAAAATTTCCGAAAATTGAAACTCCCAAATCCCTCCCACTTAGCTTAAAAGCTTAAAAAAAGAATTCCCAAAAAAAAAAAACCAATTAACCTTCAAAGTGATCCTACTATCAATCTTACGAGTACGATGTAAGAATCGAGCCAACGAGCCAGATGAAACATATTCGGTTATAAATATTATCTGAAATTTAAATAAAAAAACTTTTAGCTAAAAGTTGTATCTAAAATATATAAACTATAAATATACAAATATATTACTATAAATAAATAAAACGACTATAAATATACATAATACATTAATATAATAAATATAATACATTTATTATATTTTTATATATTTGTTATATATTTATATATAATATAAAAAAATTTTAAAATAAATATATTTATAGTCGTATATTTATATCGTTTTCAAAAAATAATAACATTTCAAAAATAAATAAACCAGCGATGAATAAACAAAAACATTACTAATTGAAAATTCAAATTATACCCTCGGCTTTTCGGACTTCGCATCAGTCCAGTATTTGTGGAACTTAACAAGATTTGGATGCCTGAGATGTGTTAATTTATCGAAAATGACATTAACATTTTCCTAAAAAAAAATATTTTAATATTAAAAATATTTGAAAACCTGTGTTCAAATGAAACCAAGATAATAAATCAGAACGTCCCCTAAAGATAATGAGGAATTCAAACAATGGCAAAATCACTTACTTCTTGCTCACGGAAATTTTTCCGTTCAGAAAACTGTACCTCATTCCAAACTACTTCATTACCCGTTTCATTATCCATAGCCAGATAGGCAAAATCAATGCCTGAAACTTCGCGTTGCTTCACTTCTTCTCGACGTTTACTCCACCTTTTGCATGGACTCTCCTCAAGTATCTGAAAACCTTTTACATGAAGATTCCTTGATTCTTCATTTATTTTGGCAAATAATAAAATAGTATTTAACCAACAAATTTAAAATTTGCGTTCATCACTGATCCTATTTTTGATTCAATAAATTTTCCAATTTTACAATAATATTTTTTACAAATTACATATTACAATTATTTCTTCCAAAAAATTTACAAAAGCAAAGGATATTTTGAGATTCATTTTTGAGTTTATTTGCTTTCAACTAGCTCTTCAAAATAGAATTAAAAAATGAAAAATATATATAGAATTTGATCAGGATCGTTATTTTTCCTTCGCAACGTAATTTTTGCAATGTAATGTAATTTTATAGAAATTAGTCAAGTATGACAGAGAAATTCAACTGAAAATTCGATTTCGCTTAGACGAATAAAAATATAAAAGTAGAATGGCAGACACATCGAATAGCAACATTATCATCATTCAGCAGACGGACGGCAGTCAAATCTTTTTTTCCAGCATTCTCGCAATAATCAACGGCAACGTCAGTGTCGTGTCGCCGCGGCTAACTATTTTTTTTATTTTTTATTATTAAGAGTTGTCTGCAACATTATTAAACCAAGTATATCTCAGTGACGATAATATACACTTTCGATACTACAAAAATTATTAGTCAAAAGGTTAAAAAGGAAATTAATCAACCTACAAAGTATAGAATAAAAAACCCAGCTAAGGAAGCAACCTTTATAAACTATTACCGAAAAATACAGCCATTTTATCCCTTCTAATTTTTTATGTGAAGTCTATCTTCAAAATATCATTCCAGTCACATTTTCTTTGTCATAACACTTTCATATTTACTTTATCCAAATTATTTTGAAGATTCAAACTTGAAAAATTAAGAACGGAAATGAAAGTTTTTTATTCATATTTTCTCTAAGTCTAAAGACATCTGGACTAAATTTTCTTGGTTTTCCGATCTCTGGCCCACCATGTCAACAACTTAAATTCACCAACTACATACGAAAGAATGTGAAATTTTACAGGTATGAAAAATTCACAGAGAAGTGATAGATTTGAAAAAAAAATTTGTATGTATAAAGGAAGTTTACTCTGAAAAAAGGAAAAAACCAACTTCTGCAGCACCTTCCCCTTCAGAATCGCTATTTGCATCATTACGATCGCGCGATGACCGATCAACAAGTGCTGCCACAGTTGCTGCTGCTGCATCAGTTGCATTACTTTTTAATGTCGTTGTTGCTGTTGTCACTGCTGTGGTAGCCGAATCGGTTCCTATACCAGAAATCATAACCAAACAACTCCGACGAAAAAATTTTTCCCGCGTTTTATTCCAAAGACAATTGATGAAAATACCACCGATGAGCTAAGCTTGCGTAAAAAAGTTAACGCCGCTTGCCACTATATCGGTGACTTGAAATCCAAAATCCACAATATGTTAACCATCCAATAATAACATAAAATGCAGATAATGATTATACGATAGAAAATAGCAATTAATATAACAATCGAGTATGGTCTGACGAATGGGTTTTACCAAAACGCGATTGAGATGGAAGAAATGACAATTCAAATCCAATTCCAATATTCCAATTCCAACTGAAATAGATAATAGAGTGATCAATATTCAACGCTGAGAAAAAAAAACGAAACTTTACATTTAAATACTATAAATCAAACGATCAAAAGAAAATCCATATCTCCGTGCAAAGTGGACTGAAAAAGAAACTGACACTATAATTAATGACTGGAATGGTGGTGGTCAAACGGTATGTTTCTTCAATTGAAAGAAACGTAAACTCAATTTTGGCTCCCGGCGAAATCAAACTTATTAAAAATGAGATCGACTGAATGCCGCGAACTCCTCTGCATTTCTGTTGAAAAAAAGTGGTCAGCACAGTTAGCAAATCAGAAGTAATAACTGCTGTTAAAACAATAGGAATAATTAAATGAGAAAGTGATCTAATGAAGAATTCGAAATTATTATAATCTCTAAAGCTACATCAACGAGTATATCAAAAAACAATCTTTGGAAAAAACACTTTTAGTTAAATAAAAAAATGAAATCATCCTTTCGAAAAATATATAACTATAGTAAAATTTTGCTGAAGAAAATAATTCAACGTTAATTCACCACTGAGCTTTAATTAAACTTAATAATCGTTTAAATCACCTGCAATTTTTTAGATAAATAATAAAATATTTCGAAATTTTTCAACATTTTTTGGATATACAAAATCCAAAAGATAAACAAGAAGCAATACAAAGAAAGAAAAGAAAATCAATGAATGAAATTTTAACATATTATATAGGTTGATCGAATCATAACAATTATATATATATATAAATAAATCAAACCAAAAAAATATTATATTAAGAGCGAATTTAGCGCTGTTGATGCTGCTATTTCTATAAAAAAACCTAAAATTCTTTCGATTTTTTTTTCGAATTATGTCCTCAGTTTTCTCCTAAAAAATATATTTGCGAAAATATATTATCATGAATATCTATCATCCATCTCATTATTGTCTCGTATTGATAAATCATTTTTCTACACAGTTCTGGGTAGACATGCGAGCCAATCAATGCAAACATAAAAAATTGATTTTGCTAGTGGTTTTTCCCAGTTAAATAATGTTGGCCGATAAGACAACGAATAATATTCAGAAAATAAACAGAACATAGTCGTAAAACTGCTGCACTGAAATTCCTGAAAAAAATGGTTTATATATTTGACCGATTCGGTGGATTTTTTTCCCTAATAGACAAATTATTCTCTGATTTCCTTCAAAAATTATCAAACTTTTTCTATAGAAAAAAAGAAATCATTTAATCTTCATAGGATAACCGGAGGTGACAACGTAGCAAAATCAATGGAAACTATAAAAAGAGACAGAAGTGCAAAATGAGCAAAACTTGGTGAAGAAAAACCAAATCAGAACGCCATTGTTCGTTCGAAAATTTCGATCGATCGCTGATAACTCAGAAAACGCCTTCATCACATAAAAAAGTAGCCCATTTAACTAAACGCTTTTTTACTTGAGATGAGAGATGAGGTGAGGAAACATATGTCTAAAAATTATCTTATGCTCAGAATATAAGTGGAATAAACAAAAAAAATGAGTAAATAAATAGCACACTTTTTTTTTGCCATTTGCCATTTAATAAAAATTGAACAAAATCAAACAGAAAAACTTATCCATAAATCTCATTTACACCAATGGATATGCAAGAAGCTAAAATACTTTCTAATATATTTACTATCTGCGATTAAATTCGCTCCACTGTTCACATATTTTCTGGAACTATCATCATCAACCGATGCCAATTTGTTTGTTCTACGTTTCAAGCACCACGCTATTGCGCTCTCATATTTAGTACAAGTACGAAACAAAAATTGCAAAAATAAGATTTCGACAGCGAATACCATAAGAAATATTAACAAAACAAATTAGTAAGGTAGACAGATAAAAAAAAGCCAGTGGCAACTGATTAATTATCTCATTTTTTTCATAGATCAATCTTGGGAATTTTCATTCAAATTAAAGAGTTTAAAGAACTTTTCAAATGTATCTGTAGAAAACCCATACATTCATGTTCTCTGATCAAGAATTGCAGAAATTTTATATTTTTTTACATTTTACATGAATAAAAAATATTCAACCAACTTCAGAAGTATCAACTTTGAGGGATTTGTTCTAAACTTTATTCTAAAACTCGAATTATTCTATATTTCATGCATCAGCACTCTTGCATCTGAGTACCAAAACAGATGTACCAAAAATAAAAAACAAAAAAAACTTCTGAAATAATAAATAATATAAAATTTCATTCATTCATTTCATAGCATTCATTTCTATTGAGTTGATACGCAAGAGAAGCTGGAAGAGAAACTAATTTATTAAGCAAACCGAATTGAATGCGAAAAAAAGTAGAAAGATTAAGGCTGCACTGGATTCGCTGAGTATGACCTTTACTGTAAACCTTATTACGCTAGTACAAATGACCTCTACAATTTTGCCAATGACCTTTTTTCTTCGCTATTCATAATATAATACTTATCAAGCATGCGAAAATTTTCGCCTAATCCCATTTAATCCTAAAATATATTAAAAAAGCGTAGCAAAATATTTCTTTCCCTTCAACAAAAGATAAATTTTTACAAATTGGCAGAGGTTGACGAAATCCAATAAAATCTACGAACACACCTTTTTAATAATTCATTTGTTGACATATCGCCCATCTTATTCATTTATCGCTTCGTATGAGTTGCTTGGTAAGAAAAATTTTTTCTTATAGTCTTAGACCTTTCATAAATAATTTGAAACGATTCCATCTTAATTCCATTAAACCTACTGATCACGTAAAGAATATCTAAAATCAAATCATGAAAGTCTTTAATAATTATTTTCTAGCATAAAATATTAATAAAATTATATTTTTATCATATTTCGAGAAAAAAAATGCAAAAAATTTGTTGTTAATTTAATTTAAAAGGCATAAAACAACCGAAACTTACTATTCATTTTAGAATAATAGTATTAAAAAAACTATTCAAATATTACAAAAATAAAGAAGTATGACGGAAAAAATCTGATGAAACATGATAGATAAATGATTCACATTATCCGAAGAATTTTTTTCTAAAAAAATTACGAAAAAATAAACAGCGCAATGAAGAGAAAAAGAAAACAAATCGTTTACCAAGATAAACGAGTCTTTTTTGCTTTTTCTTTTCATAACTTTATTTCTTTCTTTATTTTTTATATTTCTGAACAAATTTTAAAATTTTAAAATTTAAAATGAAAAAATCTTTAAAATTGACCATAAATCTGGAAAATTACTCGAAAAAAATGCAAAATGATATTGATTCAATATTTCGAGAAGCAGTGAACAGAGTCTTAGAATAAAAAAACTAAAAAAAATGCAACGATTAATAATAGGAGCATCTGTTGGCACCTTTCTGTAGTAAGGTCATCTTATGTTCGTCATGGTTCGTTGAAGGCAAATAGCTTCATTAATTACAGTGTTGGATTCTTCCATATCTTTATTTTGCACTACACAATTTGGTTGTATGTGGTTAATTAATATAAATTGCAACCTATTATTATATTATTATTATACTATTGAAATATATTGAAATAGTATTCTCCATAGTAGTGCTTCCAACTGAATTCTAAATTGACGCAACTGGCGCAAATACCTATAAAGTAGCACAAATAGAGAAACAGCAATAAAAAGCCAGGGAAAAATTCCAAGATGATCCCATGATTATATTGATCGAAATGGCGGAAAACTTTTGATCGAAAAAATTATTCATTATCACTTAAACTTCATAACCACGGTTTGCAATTATTTATGTTGTATAAAATGCTTTTTACTAACCTATTTCACCGTAAAACTGGAAAAATGAATAAAAATGCATTTTATCATTTGCCAGAACTATACGACAGAACAAAGAATTTATAATTTATGAACGAAATCTTAGAATAGCGAAGAAGAATAGCGAGGACCAGTTATGGCCATTTTGAGATAGAATAAACGAAACAGACATTGAAGAAAAACACCCCTAAAAATAGCTCGAAAAAATAAATTTCGTTCAACAACTAAAAAAATTTATTAGAACAGAGATCCTCCACAATAAAACAAAAAAGGACAACAAGTAAGGAAAATTTTCTAATCAAAAAATCTAATAGTTTACCAGAAAATTCGGGGAAAAAACAAAGAAATGTAACGATTATCAAAGATGCAACCGAAAATCGAATATACAATAACTGCAGAAAAAATCGAAACAAAAAAATTGAGGGAAAATTTTTGGAATGAAGCGATCAATAAAAGAAAAATTTGTGAATAAAACGATTTATAAAAATAAAAAGAACTATAAAAATAATAATTAAGAAATAATTCTCGAAAAGGACCCTTTAACAAATTTTAAAAAAGCTAACAAATTGCCAACCAAACACTTCTGAAAACGATAAACCAGGAAAATGCAAATCACTTCAAAAATAGGAGAATTCATCGCAAAAATCTACCGTAATCGAAACAATGGTCTTTTGACATAATTTTCAAATTATAGACCTTTTACAGCATAAAACCAAGAGTAGTTAATTCCAATGACATACAAATTGTAAAATAGAATTATAAAAATTATATTTTATGAAATTGTTCTCCTTCTCCCCTTCTTTCCCCAACTAGAATAGTCTCGGTGGAACCAGGACTTCAGACGCCCTCTACCACTTGGGTGACACCGTATAAAGAGCAGGAATTGAACACACACGCTTGGGTAACAAT